CTACATAGCGCAAATCACAGTAGGGTACTACTACCCACAGCACTAGTCTCCATCGAACACCGAGGAGAACTGTTTAAACTCAGAGCCTTAATAGACTAAGGATCACAACGATCATTTATAGCGCCTAGGGCACAAAACAGGCTACAGGTGCCAACAAAACTGGCCAATTTTGAAACCACAGAAATGGGCGGAAGAGTTGTTTATAACTCAAATAAAATATGCCCTATTACCCTCTTTTCCCCCAAAGCGGATAAGCGCATACAAGCAAAAGCTATTGTCTTACCGCAATTAAACAATATGCTACCCAGCTGTCACATAAATAGCAAGCATTCGCAAAAGGTTTCACACCTAACTACTAGGCAGCGGTCTCATACCACAGATAATATTCGAAGGTATTGAGAAAATCACAAACACACTTCTGGCGCAAAATACCATTTTCGGTTGGGTCCTACGTGTACAAGTTGCAGAACCAGTTACAACATTGAGAACTCAAGTTGAGGAGGTCTCAAACGAGTACCTCAATTCACAATTGAAAAATTTTGGGAATTAGAAGAACTCCCTCCCATATCAGTCACAACCCCTCAAGATCAGATTTAGAAAGCCATAACTACATACTAGATCGGAAAATGGTTGGTACGTCATACGACTAGCACTTAAGCAACAATTTCCTAACACACTCGCCTTAGGTCACTCTCGCACTTCTACAATACAGCAGTTTTTAAGTATGGAAAGAAACCTACTTAAAAAAGGTGAACCAAAATCTTAATTTGATGGTGTGTTAGAAGAATACCTTCATTTGAATCATATGGAGGAAGTAAACCCAGGGGAGAAAATCGTCAACGGCAAATACTACGCCTTTTACCTTAAAGTAAGTAGTAAAGCCAGACAAAAAACAAGTAAGGAAGAGCTAAGTTCGGGTGTCACCGAACATTTTATACTCTCACATCAAATACCGTATTTGTGTAAAGTTTTATTCCGCTATCATTATTGGTTCCTAATGTATATATTTTACAGAGAAGGCATCAGATGGAATTCAAAATAGCGTTATATTGGAAGATGGCGTGGTTGTGAACCGATTTCGCCCATATTATGTACATGTCATCAGGGTGTTAAGAAATTATTATGTACCGAATTTCATTGCAATCAGTAGAGTAGTTCCTGAGATATGGTTTTTGGTCCATAAGTGGGCGACGCCACGTCCATTTTCAATTATTAAAGAAAGCCTGGGTGCAGCTTCTTTCTGATATTTCTTCCATAAAATTTAGTGTTTCTGACGTTTTTTGTTAGTCGGTTAACGCACTTTTAGTAATTTTCGACATAACCTTTATATGGGAGGTGGACGTGGTTACTATCCGATTTCTTCCATTTTTGAAGTGTATATGGAAATGCCTGAATGAAACAACTCTGTAGAGYTTGGTTGACATAGCTATAGCAGTTTCCGAGATATGTACAAAAAACTTAGTAGGGGRCGTCCATATATGCCCCTCCCTAATGCGATTCTTTGTGCCAAATTTCACTATAATATCTTTATTTATGGCTTAGTTATGACACTTTATAGGTTTTTGGTTTTCGCCATTTTGTGGGCATAGAAGTGGGCCGATTTTGCCCATCTTCGAACTTAACCTTCTTATGGAGCCAGGAAATACGYGTACCAAGTTTCATCATAATATCTCAATTTTTACTCAAGTTACAGCTTGCACGGACGGACGGACAGACAACCATCCGGATTTCAACTCTACTCGTCACCCTTATCACTTTGGTATATATAATGCTATATCTGACTCTTTTAGTTTTAGGACTTACAAACAACCGTTATGTGAACCAAACTATAATACTCTCTTTAGCAACTTTGTTTTGAGAGTATAAAAAAACAACAAAGGTAAGAGTGGTTTTAATGCCTCGAAAACCACTAGTTCGGGGAATTCCCTAAATCCTATCCTATTTACGGGACCCACACTCCAACCAGATTGAATGCTTCTGATATTAAATTGGCGTATATTCAAATACGAATTGAATCTGGATTGTACATAAAAACGACCAAGATTTTCAGCGTATTATGTTCCGAAGATCCCACACCAGTCTTTTACAACACATAGTCAGAATTTCTTCTGACAATTTTGAAACCACAAACGTATGTAGACAATATTTTGTCTGGAAGTCACACACTTCCACAAGCATAGGGGGACTTATCACAGATAATAAAAGCCCTCAATTCCGCAGAGTTTCCATTAAAAAATATTACGGAAAATCATCCAAATATGCTCAAAAATATTACAAACTTAAAATACTTGACCTAGTGGGATCAGCCACATGGCGTTTTGTAGGCAGTGCTGACAATTCTGCCGATATAGGTACAAGAGGGTGCAAGCTACTGCACCTTGCCACCACCACCCTCTGGTGGAATGGCCCCCGATGGCTGATCTTGGCCACAATCCCCCATACGCAACATTTTCGCCGCAGAAGGTCGAAAAATCGCCACATTTCACACATTAATAGATAATGCCGACATCCGTGAACTATGTTTATCGTTTCCAAGAGTTCTCAGAGGAATTGCTTATGTATTCAAATTTATCGAGCAACTCAAAAGCAGAGTCAAAGGATCACATAATTTTTCATGCAATACAGTGACGCACCTAGAGGTGCAAAAGGCAAAGGTCGCACTTTTCGCATATACGCAAGCGCGTTACTTCAGCCGCGATATATCMCTACTAAGAGAATCGAAGCCGATTGATAAAAAAGAGCTCACTCTTAGTCCTAAACCCATTTCTGGACACGAAAGGTCTGTTTCGTGCCAATGGCCGGTTTGCTAATTCGAGCCTAACATACAATGAACGCCACCCCATAATAATTCCAGAGAAATCACCATTTGCCACACTATTCCTCAACTACATCCACATCTTAATGCTACACGCCGAACATCGCCTCATGCAACACATGATACGCCAGAAGTATTATATCCCCGGCCTTAAGCCGATAATCAAGAAGTGCATCTTCACATGCAAGATTTGCACTATGCACATACAAAAGATGCGAACGCAGATTATGGCAGCACTTCCACCTAAACGCTGYAATCTCGCTCTGCCTTTCACCACAACAGGTGTTGATTTTGCTGGGCCTTTCCAGGTAAAGGCATCTACGTTAAGGTCTCCCACTTTCATGAAAGCCTATGTGGCTGTCTTCTTATGGTTTACGACAAAGGCAGTACATCTTGAGCTATGTAGTAATCTGACGACGGAGGCTTTTCTAGCAACATTTGATCGCTTCGTCGCTCGACGTGGCTACCCATCAAAACTCATGAACAATAATGCCAAATCTTTATTGAATCTCAGCGAGCCACAGAAAGGCAATTCCTGAGCCACGCGTGGAGTCGCTATCCCTATTAAATCGATGCGAATGAATTAAGATTCTCCATCATGATTTCAGCCACCGATGGAAGTACGATTACATAAAGGATCTCCGCAAAAGATAGCGTTGGAAAATTCCTGAACAAGTGCCTAAACTGGGAGACTGTGTCATTATCCATGATGGTTGTCTACCCCCTATTGAGTGGCGGCTTGGCCGCATAGAAAAGCTACATTTCGGCTCCGATGGTCAAATACGAGTCCTGGATCTCAAAAAACGAAACACTAACCAGACCGCCCGTGATGCTGTGCTTTCTACCAACCCCCGACGATCGCAATTCCGAAAACCGAAAAAAAACCGCGATATAATAAAGTCATTAAATTTAACAATAAAACGAGAAATACGCCAGTAACACCCCTTCGAATTAACAGGAAGTATCGAATAACCAATAATATTAACAAAAAAATTTCGTTCGATACGACGACACGTTCATTCCACATATCGTGGCACGATCACCATGTCTGCTTATCTGATAGAAATTTATAATCAACAATCTTCTCCACACAGATTAACATGGGTGTAGATACACCAGTCGCAAATACGCCAACCGCTCGGACGGCTACCAATGTGTCACGCAACGGGCCTACACCAGCGCTCCGAACGGTAGTTGCAACAGCATCGGCCACTGCACCGGCAACCGCGCCTGCAGCGGTACTTGCACCCGCATCTCGTGATGGCACCCGACTACAACCGACCACATCAAGGACTTCGGAGACCCTCCAGATAAGGTACTCCWTCTGTCCACGCCCACATTGTCTGCCCCAACTGCCTGTCGCACGCTCATGCGACTCCAAAGTATGAGTCACGGGGGCAGTGCCAAATGTGTCACCGACCGCGCCACACGCTGATACATCGCAGCTCATCTCGCGAATTCAACCGGCCACCCAACCATCGCGGCCGCGTATGCCAACTCCCACCCGTTGATCGTGTCATACCCCAGCGGAGTGGAACCTCGTTGCGGCGTCGCCAGCCTGGGCCACCCCCTCGTGGCCCCACGGGTCGGAGAAGCGTTGTCGCTCCGCTGCAAAAGCTGCAGCGCCTTCTAGGCTAAACAGTCGCCTAGGGCGGGCGGGATAGCTAAATGAGTCTTTGACCCCCCTTACAATATAAAACACCTACACCATTTACATCATCCACACATCACACTTAACATACCTACACCATATACATAATCCACATATCATACTCAACACACTACAAACATCACCTTCATCGTATGAGCATATATATATAACACCTTCCATACCACACACACGAGGACACCGAACACAATTTACAAAAGGGACTGACGGACGGCGCTGAGACTCTTTCTCTCTCGATCGTTCGCGTATACGCAACCGACCAACTTTAACTTTTTTCCGTCGCTATCGAATTCAATCGCATTAAAGGTGAGTGCCGGGAACTTATTCTTCTAGCAAAATTTACAAACACAATTGATACTCCAACATGCAAAATTTCCCGATCCAGTGCAATGGGATGAGTGCACAATGGCACATAAGAAATCACTTGAAGCACTTAACTTCACACTGAAGGATCTTCGGCGAAATAACAACACCTTTGGCGGCTTGATGATATTGTTGGCGATTTCAGGCAGACGTTCACAGTAATTCCGCGTGGAACGCCTGCAGATGAATTGAATGTTTACCTGAAGGCATCACCTTTATGGAATAACGTAAAAGGGTTATCGTTAACCACTAATATGAGAATTCAGCTTCAAAATGATCAAAGTGCTGCACAATTTTYCAAACAATTGTTAGCTGTTGGAAATAGAAAAGTCCCAGTTGATGCGACATCTGGATTAATTACTCTAACCAACGACTTTTGCCGATTTGTAGACTCTCAATTCTCTTATTGAAAATGTTTTCCCAAACATTAGTGAGAATTATCAGAAATATGCTTAGTTAAGTCAGCGAGCAATTCTTGCCGCAAAAAATAATGATGTACACGCACTGAATTTCACCATTCAATCAAAAATTGCTGGCGATTTGGTGAGATAAAAATCCGTTGATTCCATAACAAATCCCGATGATGTAGTAAAGTAGCCAACCGAGTTTTTGAGCTCGCTGGAGTTACCAGGATTTCCACCACATAACTTGCAACTTAAAGTTGGTACAGCGTACTTTGATATTGTGTAATTTGAATCCATCGCGACTTTGCAATGGTACTCGACTTTCTGTAAAAAGACTTATGCCGCATTTGATTGAGGCCACCATTATTAACAGAAAGTACGCAGGTGAAAATATATGTATTCCTCAAATACCAATGACTCGGCTTGATCTTCCGTTTGACTTCAAACCATTGCAATTTCCAGTTCGCCTTGCGTTCGCAATGACATTTAACAAGTCATAGCGCCAATCGCTTAGTGTTTGCGGGATATATTCCAAAATTCATGAACCTTCTCTAAAGTACATATATACATATATCTCATATGATCACCATAGGGTAGGTATAAACGTATAATACTCTCACAATTGTCAAGGATTAAAGCCATGAAAATACATAATTTCAGATGTTGACAAATATTTTTATAAACCAATAAAAATAGCTATAACGGAACATTTCATCCATTGCAAYTTGCAAGAATTAAAGCCGAAATAATACCTCCAGGCTTGTTAGTTATATTGTGTCTAGGACATGTTTTCATCCGATTTTAAAAACACACCGTTATTAGAAAACATGTTCATTAAATTTTAATTTCAAATTTAAGATATATATAACTAACATATATCAAATGAAATTTAAGATTGAATTGTAGAATTGGTTGCAGTCCGACGTAGCTCATTTTCACAATGTAGCATAGCAATGTCAAAAGAGTATTAAATACCGAATGTGGTGTATACCATGAGATATGTTTCTCTAAAGCCCTCTGATATCATCTCGGGAGTAAAGTATAATATTATATAATGCCTCTGGCGTATTTATTAATTGATTTATAGCGCTTTTAGTAGACTTTAAGGGGTCAATAGGGTAATCTGGCCTGTGTTTTGACATTTGATGGAATTTTTTATTCTACAATAGACTTTATAGTTGGGGAGGATGGAGTCATGTGTAGAAGTTCACGCAAGTGACGAAAGTTCTCTGATCGCCATTCACTTGGGAGTGGCCAGAAACGCTTCTTTTACATATGACTCAAGCGGCTCACGACTTCCGGTCCTTGACCAAGTATCCTCTTGGTAACCTAAAAACATCCGTTTGAAGGCAAGYTAAAGTGARAAGGCGAAACATTCCCTGCATAGGGTTGTGCGCTGGGTATGGGACCGGCCACGTAAAAAACCACCCCATTGAAAACGCAACAACAGCCTCGGCTGAGAGACCCCACTTTTGATGACGGCCATGGCAAACGAAATAAGGACTACGAATTGAGGGCATGCACCTGGAATGTCCGGTCCCTTAATTGGGAAGGTGCCGCTGCCCAGCTGGTTGACGTCCTCGTAAATATAAAGGCTGACATCACCGCCGTCCGATGCGATGGATGGGACAAGGCTCCTTGTGGCATTTACTACAGTGACCATATAAAGGAACGCAAGTTTGGTGTGGGACTCGTGGTGGGAGAGAGACTCCGTCGCCGAGTACTATCATTCACTCCGGTGAATGAAGGTCTAGCGACGATCCGCATCAAAGCGAGGTTCTTTAACATATCGCTGATTTGCGCCCACGGGCCGACGGAATAGAAGAACGATGTGACCAAAGATGCCTTTTATGGGTGCTTGTAAAGCACTTATGAGAGCTGCAAGATACATCAAGCTACCTGGCTGTCTCCGGATCGAAAAAACACCAACCAGATCGATCATGTTATGACAGACGGATGACACATCTCCAGTGTTTTAGATGAGCGTGTGCTCCGAAGTCCTAACATCGACTCGGACCACTATCTTGTTGCAGCCAAGATTCGCACCCGAATCGGTGCAGAAAAAAACACACGCCATCAAACAAAAGAAAGGTTCGACGTCGAGAAGCTGCAATCACAACAGACAGCCGAACGATTTTCTACTCGGTTTGCACTCCTGCTCTCTGAGAGCACTCGTCAACAACTCGGTATAAGGGAACTGTATGACGGCATTTCAAACTCCTTACGTACAGCTGCAACCGAAACTAATGGTTTTCGGAAAGTGCAAAAGAACATCTGGTATGACGAGTTGTGCCGTGTCGCAGTGGAGAGAAAACAGGCTGCCTACCTCGAAACGTTACGATCGACCACAACATCCACCACAACGGGATGAGATAGATACCGAGAGTTGAAGAGGGAAGCGAGACGCATTTGCAGATATAAAAAGAAAGAGGCCGAAAATGCGTGAGTAGGAATGGCTTGATAATGCTCCAAAATTCTACGAAAAAATGCGGCGGCTTACAAAAGGTTTCAGGACCGGAGCATACCCTTGTAGAACCCCCAAAGGTGATCTAGTCACCGATGCCCAGAGCATACTTAAATTATGGAGTTAACACTTGCCAACTACCGTGTGATAAGTCTCCTCAACATTGCATATAAGGTTCCATCGAGCATATTGTGTGAAAGATTAAAGCCCACCGTCAACAAACTGATTGTACCTTATCAGTGTGGCTTCAGACCAGGAAAATCAACAACCGAGAARATATTCACCATGCGCCAAATCTTAGAAAAGACCCGTGAAAGGAGAATCGACACTTACCACCTCTTCGTCGATTTGAGAGCTGCTTTCGACAGCACAAAAAGGAGCTGCCTTTATGCCACGATGTCTGAACTTGGTATCCCTGCAAAACTTATACGGCTGGGTAAGCAGACGTTGAGCACCCAAATTATTCTTAAAAATGCGTAGAATCTACTACTAGAATCATGAAAAAATTTAGATAGATAAAAAGGTAACTAACGTTCTTTTTTTTTTTWAATTTATTCCCATTTTTTCTTTACATAAATTTTTTCATAGCATTGTCAATAAATTAAAAAAAATTATGACTCTAGTAGGGACAAGCAGTTTGTGAACATTAAAAACAAATTAAGCAAATCGGTTGAGTAGTTGGAGCGGTTTAAAAAAGTTTGAGAAAAACGTTTGAGAAAAACGTCTTTAAAGTGCCATTATTATATTATTATTTTTTTTTTTGACCTTTTGCAAAACCTTCCAATTGTAAAGTGGGTTTTTGCATTAATTCTAATGGTATAAAGAAACCGAAAATACAAAAAAAAAAAAAATAAAATTCAAAAAGATTACCTTACTGACCGCTAAATAGTACCGTTTAATGGAATTTTGGGGTGTACGGAGAAACATGTGTACCAAGGCCAAGACAGACAGATATACAATCACTTGGATATCAAGTCGTCTCTTCATCCTGATCATCTACCTAGAATTGTTTTAGGTGATACAATTCACTCTGTAGCAACATGTTCCAAGAGTATAAAATTAGGAAAAGTTTCAACATATACTACGGAGTTTTGATTTAGTTTTATTTCTATATTTTACTTTAACCTAATGGAGAGAAACTCCGCCATATGTTTATACACGAAATTTAGTTGACATTTTACGAGTCGAGTAGAATGAGATATGTAAAGGTTTAAAATCTTTAAACCAAAATGCAGTTGTGTATCTTTATTTGCGGCATTGTATAGATTTTCATTTAACGATATTTGTGCGCGTAAAAACGCTTCGATTCCGCATATGTGTACCTATGTTCAGATTGGTCACTTTATCAGAGTACACCATTTCTTAGTTGAACGGATAGATATACATATGTATATCCATCACAATTAGGTTTAGTTGCCACAAACACTGATTTACTATTTTTACTTTTTCAACTACACTTACCTTCTCATCGTTACATGTTAATTGATTTACGGCACTATATGCTTCCATGTCATCATTAGAGGTGTCTACTCTTTGATGTCTGTCATTTGTATAATCCGCTATAACCCATAATGGAATTTCTTTAAAGCTTGTAATTGTTAGTGTTACGCAAAAAATGAATATGAAAGTAACTAATGTGAATACTGTTTTTATATGGCCACCTAATTTTTGACCTGGAAAAATTGTTGTATTAATTAATGTAGCTATATATATAAATACATTATAAATACCAATTATTGTTGTATCCCAGTCGACGGCTCCCATTGAGTACCCCATAAATCCGCCTAAACCCGCCATTATTGTAAATGTAGAAAGTCCTTTCACATGATCCTCTACAATTGAAAGAAAGTTAAAGACGAAATAATGTTAGATAGAAATTACTACCTGGAAGGCATATGTCCAACAAATATGCTCTAGCTGGGCTTTGGCACGCATCCGCGTCGAAGTCTAATAAGACTGTACCCAAAACAGTGAAAAAGATTCCCCAAGGATGTTTATTCTGTGGTATGGAATGTTTTTCATTTTGTGAAGCAGTCACACGATGTGATACCATATTTAAACTTGTATTTGTTACTTCAATTATTGAAGAGTGCAATTCTTGGTAATCATCACCAAACCAGTATCCCAATTGTTCCCCATTAGGTATTAAAAGAAGTCCTGTTAAAACAACTTTGACAATTAATTGGCTGAGATTTACAATAGCATCCCTGAAATTCGGGGTTAAAATGGATATGTACGGATAGAGGAGGTTCTCCAAAGAATATAACAAGGTATCTCTGACTTTTGTCAGAATGCAACGCTTTTGCTATTGTGTGAATAAAAAGAATAGAACACAAATTAAATATTGAATTGAGTTATTTTTGTATTATTTAATAAAAATTAAATGTATTAAAATGAATAATGGCAGTGATAGTAGATACACAAGCTAAAAATAAATGAGGTAAATTCATCATAAATCAAAGGAACATGCACTTTAAAGTATTGACTTTTTGAATTTTCTTTAAGCCATTGTTCACTGCACCTTTTGAACACTTACCACATTTAAAATTTTTTTTTCTAAATAAAACGCCCGTTTTCGGTTGGTAAAACTATATTTCAGTTTAGAAATTTACGTTTTTATTTAGGTATTTATGTTATGCAAATCCGCGTATATAAACGTAAATGTAACAACGTGAGTAATAAACTGTGAAAATTGTTAGCGTAATAGTGGAACGACGACAGCGGGTGGCGGCGTACGAGAAAGCGACGGTCGAAGCGACGTGCAGGTTCAAATGCAGACGAGTAAGAACTGAACAGTTGAGATGCTGACCCTCTTTTTGTGGAGTGGTACCCACTGTGGTGTGTGTTTGCGTGTGTTGATGCGAGGTGTCTGTGGGTGATGTTGATGTGTGGGTCCTGCGGTATGTGAGTTCTGTGTTAGAGGGAGACTTATCTCATTTACTAATCCCGGCCCCCCTAGGCAAATATTCAGCCTAGCATTCGCTGGAGTTGTTGAAGAGTTGCCACTACGTTGCTAAGTCCAGTAGCGGGGCGATGTTGTGGGCTTTCGGACGATGCCTAGTCGATGCAACGCGGTGCGGGCGCTATTAATGAGGCTCAGGACGGGCTGCAGTGGTTCGACATCGTACCACCCGGTTTTCTCGCCTTGGTCTACCTGTGCTTGAGGCAGCTGGCCGACCTACATCACGTCGATGGTYGTGTCGGTGACAATCCTTTATAGAGCCCACAATGCTGTGGCCGGTGTTTCCGGCGACATAGAGGGCATCGGATTCGAGGCGATTCGGCTTGTGTGGATGGCGTTGATGGAGTGCTCGTGAGCCACTACCAGAAGCGGTGGTCGATGCTAGCATTGGTCGGGCGGGGCTTAGGCCATTACGTTCCACATTGGTTGCCGRCCGAACAGTTGATATGAGTATGGTAGACATGTCCACGTCCATCTTGATCTCTATAAAAATGGTATTTGAGTATACATGGTAGTATATAAATAGAGGGCGATTGTGCCACATTATGTGGCATGACTGTGTCGTCGTATTGACCGACAATTTCTACACTTTTTAGTGTTATTTTTAAGGGCTTGTTAAGGGTTGCGGCTTTATTGATTTATTTCAATTGGTTTTCATTTGTGTTGCGGTATTATGATTGAATCGTTTGGTATCGCAGTTTTGCTATTATTCATGGTTGGTGGAAAGCATAATTTAACCAGCAGTCTGGCTCGTATTCCGCTACGAGTACGGAGATCAACTACCCGGATGTGACAGTCTGAGCCATAATGGAGCCCACCACTCGGTTGGTGGGAGACAATCATCGTTAATGAGGAGGTCCTTTAAAAAGTCTTCTTTCAATCTGCGGCTCAAATTATGATGACTCCACTTCTGGCTCAGATCTGGCCAGAATTGGTCCTCCTTTGAGAAAGTGCTCTGGGGTTAGGGCTGTGAGATCTGAGGGATCTTGTTAATGGCCGTGAATTGAGGACGGCTTCAATGCGAATTAATAGTGTCGTAAATTCTTCGTAATTAAATTTGCAGTTTCCAGCTAGGTTTTTTAAATAAATATAATATAATAATAAGATAAATTGTCAATTAATGCCTTGGGGAGCGTACTTTTGTACAATTCGGGGGAGACTAGCTTAACAAAATCCACAAACTGTTTTTCTGTGGAAAAGCCTCTTTTGTCAGATAAGTACATAGCTCGAGGTGTAATGCTTTTGTCGTTAGACATGCAAAGACAGCCAAATATCTTTAATTTAGTTTGGGAAACCTTGACAGGGACCTCTTTATCTGAAAAGGTCCAGGAAACTCAAAATCTGTAATAGTGAAAGGCAGAGCAAAGTTGCAGCGTTTCAGAGGAATTGCTGCCATAATCTGCGTCCTCATCTTCTGTTTATGCCTAGTGCATATCTTGCACATGAAAATGCATTTTTTTATTTGAGGCTTAAGTTGGGGAATATAGAACTCTTTTGTCATCGCATTAGGCGATGTTCAGGGTGCGGCATTAGTACTTGTATATACTTGAGGAGTAATGTGGCAAGTTGAGACTTCTCTGGTATTATTAGACGATGGCGTTTTTGGATGGATTTAGTACTAAGAAAGTACTTAAATGGATTTAGTACTAAGAGTGAGCTCTTTTTGTCAATGGGATTCGATTCCCTTAGTACTGCCATCTCGCAGCTGAAGTGGCGAGTATACGTGATAAGAGCGACGTTTGCCTTGGGAGTACAGCGTGGGTTTCCCCTTCACTATAATTTTGAGTCACTTGATGAAATTGAACACCCTGATTACCCTGAGTGCTCGGGGGTATGATGAAAATCACTCAAGGATGTCAGTATCAGTCAGTGTCATTTGAAAATAGTCGATTTTTCGACTTTCTAGGTCAATTATGTTGCGCATCGGCGATCTTGGCCAAGAATCGGGAAATTCTCTCAACCATCGAGGACCATTCCACCAAAGGCTGTGGTAAGGACAGTTAAAGGACATCTTAAACAATGATATTAACATAGACGGTTTACAACTTTTTCGAAGTTCAAGAATTCAGTTAAGGCCGATTTTAATTCGTATAAATAWTATTCAGGTACGGCCAGTTTTTCCTGTTGGTGTTTTTGTTGGCAGGTCAAAACCTGAAAGATGTCAGGAATATTTAGGATTTTACGAAATGGCCTATTTAATTGAGGATGGCTTTCAATTAGAAAAGAAAGTGAATTAAAACGGAGATTGCAACCGAAAGCAATGGTTTTCGGAAAATGAGAAAGAACAGCTGGTACGACAAGATGTGCCATGAGAGAAAACAGACCTACCTAGCACCGTTACGATCGACCACAACATGTGCGGGATGGGGTAAACACTGACAGTAGAAGAGGGAGGTGAGACGCACTTGCAGACAGGAAAAGAAAGAGACCGAAATGCGTGGGTATGAAGAACTGATAAGCTGTTCGACAAGGGAATGCTCGAAATTCTACAAAAAATACGGCGGCCTACAGAAAGTTTCAAGACCGGTGAATACTCTTTTASACTTAAGACCGATGCATACTAAAGTTATGGAGGGAACACTTCTCCATCCTGCTGAATGGCAGAGAAAGTACACCGCCAGGAGAAGGCGAACCTGATTCCCCAATTGATGATGATGGAGCATACGTCCCATTGTCAGACCATGAAGAAGTTCGATTAGCAGCTACCCTCTTGATGAATAACACAGCAGAGGGAGCTGATGGAGTGCCGGCCGAGCTATTCAAACACGGCGGCGAAGAACTGATAAGAGTCATGCATCAGTTTTTTTGTAAAATATGGCCGGATGAAAGATTGGAATTTAAGTGTGCTATGCCCAATTCACAAAAAAAAGCCCCCCACAATCTGCGCCAACAACCGTGGGATAAGCCTCCTCAACATCGCGTATAAGTTTCTATCGAGCGTATGGTGTAAAAGATTTTAGTCCACCGTCAACAAACTGATTGGAACTTACCAGTGTGGCTTTAGACCTGGCAAATCAACAACCTCTTCGTCGATTTCAAGGCTGCTTTCGACAGTACGAAAAGTACCTGCCTTTACGTCGCGATGTCTGAATTTGGTATCCCCTCAAAATTATTATGGCTATGTAAACTGAGGTTGAGAAATTCCAACAGCTCGGACAGAATCGGGAAGAACCTCTTCGAGACGCTTGATACCAAACGAGTTTTCAGAAAAGGAGACTCTCTATCGTGCGTCTTCTTCAATCTGCTGCTGGAGAAAATAATTCGAGCTGCAGAACTAAATCGAGCAGATACAGTCTTTTATAAGAGTGTACAGCTGCTGGCGAATACCGATGATATTGACATAATCGGCCTCAATACCCGCGCCGTTAGTTCTGCTTTCTTTAGACTGGACAAGGAAGCACAGCAAATGGGTCTGGCAGTGAACGAGGGACAAGGCGAAATATCTCCTGCTATCGAGCAAACAGTCGTCGCACTTGCAACTTGGTTCTCACGTCAATATTGATAGTCATAGCTTTGAAGTTGTAGATTTCGTCTACCTTGGAACCAGGGTAAACATCACCAACAATGTCAGCCTGGAAATCCAACGCAGAATAACTCTTGCCAACCTCCACTCCGTTGGAAGGACCAGGACCTGGCCTTGTTAACTTGGCTATAATCGAGTAAGCGGTGTCTCCGCCAGTAAAGAAGGAGAAGATACATATATTTGGATGTACATATGTAGTGTACCAAACTGTTTTCGGTTCCCTGGAAATCAATCGTAAGTTCACACAGTTTGGTAACAACTGTTCTATTAAATTTAACAGGTTTGTAACCAGATTTTAGAAAGGTGAACTGRAACTTTCAACACACATATTTGCAAAAAAATAAAAATTTTATAAGAATAGATGGAATTGATTTTTGAGGTTAGGTTATGTTACTGCGCCCAATTTGTATCCTCCCAGTTTTCTGTCCGTTTGCTGCTGATGTATAATATATTTTATTCGCGCATTCACAAATTGTGTTTTCGCTTCTCAAAAACGCTTGAGAATTTTCAATAACCAATATTCGAATATAAATTGGCAAATAAAGAAGAAGAATAACAGGGTTCTGTTTTTTACCTTTTTAAACCAAAAGAAAAAACTCCAAAAAAAAATTTTTTGTTTTTGTTATTTTGATTACTGCACCATTTTCCGTTTTAAAACAGTGTAGGCGCTTT